CTCCTCCTCTCCTCTCTCCTCTCTCTTCCCTCTCCTCCTCCTCTCCTCTCCTCCCTCTCTCTCTCCCCTCTCCTCTCTCTCCCTCTCTCCTCCTCCTCCCCTCTCCCTCTCTCTCCTCTCGTTCCCTCTCTCTCCTCTCTCCTCTCTCCTCCTCCTCCCCTCCCTCCTCTCCTCCTCCTCTCTCCCTCCTCCTCCTCTCTCTCTCCCTCCTCTCCTCCTCTCGTTCCCTCTCCTCCCCTTCTCTCCTCTCTCCCTCCTCTCCTCTCCTCCCTCTCGTCCTCTCCTCCTCTCTTCTCCTCTCCTCCTCTCTCTCCTCCTCTCTTCCTCTCTCCCTCTCTCCTCCTCTCGTTCCTCTCCTCCTCTCCTCCTCTCCTCCTCTCTCCTCTCTCCTCCTCTCGTTCCCTCTCTCCTCCTCTCCCTCTCTCCCTCCTCCTCTCGTTCCTCTCCTCTCTCTCCTCCTCTCTCTCTCCTCCTCTCCTCCTCTTGTTCCCTCTCTCCTCCTCTCTCTTCCTCTCTCCTCCTCTCTCCTCTCTCTCCTCTCGTTCCTCTCTCCTCCTCTCTCTCTCTCCTCTCTCCTCTCTCCTTCCTCTCGTTCCTCTCTCTTCCTTCTCCTCCTCCTCTCTCCTCCTCTCTCCCTCTCCTCCTCTCGTTCCCTCGTTCCCGTCGGGTTCATGTGTAATGATGTAAGTGAATCTGGAGTTTGGGGCAGAGGACACAGATCAGGAGAACAAACACAAAGCCTCCTTCACTGACGCCGAAACTTTACCCTGCTCCTGCCGCCCGCGCTCGCACCTGCCGCACCTGCCGCTCCTGCCGCACCTGCCTCTCGCACCTGCCGCTCCTGCCGCTCCTGTCCGCCGCTCTGAGCAGAGTTTAGACTCACACATGAACCTGTTTCTTTTTTTAAAACAAAATCTCATCTCCTGTGTCTTAATGCACAAAAGAAAACAAAATGAATGTTCTTGTATGAAACCACAGAGGAACCACAGAACCACACCCACAGAACCACAGAACCACAGGAACCACAGAGGAACCACAGAGGAACCACAGAGGAACCACAGAGAACCACAGAGGAACCACAGAAAAACCACAGAAGAACCACAGAGGAACCACAGAAGAACAGAGAAAACCACAGAAGAACCAAGAAGAGAACCACAGAACCACAAGAACCACAGAAGAACCACAGAAGAACCACAGAACCACAGAAGAACCACAGAAGAACCACAGAGAAACCACAGAGAACCACAGGAACACACAGAACCACAGAACCACAGAAGAACCACAGAAGAACCGAAGAAACAGCAGAACCAGAGGAACCACAGAAGAACCACAGAGGAACCACAGAAGAACCACAGAGGAACCACAGAAGAACCACAGAAGAACCACAGAGATTTGGGTGACTTCAGGCTGCAGACTGAACGTGGACTTACAGACGGGGGTTCGACAAACGGCAAAACAGCAGATTTTATAGAAGAAGATTTAAGGTCTAGACCAGGGGTCAGCAACCCACGGCTCCAGAGCCACATGTGGCTCTTTATCTCTCCCCCAGTGGCTCCCTGGAGCTTTTTCAAAAATGAGTGAAAATGGAAAAGGAATGATTTTTGTTGTTGTTGTTTTAATCTGGTTTGTTTCGGGGTAAAACCCTCGTTCATCTGCTCATGGATCTGATCCATCATCTGTGTGTGAATGAAACACATGAAAAGTGTTTCAGCAGAACAAACAGATGAGCTGAAGCTGAAGTGGGGGATGGTGTCCACCTCCACCTGAGAAGAACTTTCCCCCAAAAAAACAAAAACAACAAAAAACCACGTGCGCAGACGGACGCTCAGAACGAACATAACGAACCAAACTGGATTCACGCTTCTGTCCGGATGCTGCACCACCTCAGAACCACCCGCGGTCGAGTGTGGAGGACCAGAGCACCCGGACCTGTGGTCCACAGTGCGCAGACGACTGCACTGCACACTCATCTGTGTGCTGGCTCCGTGTGGGAAAATCAAGAATGTTCAGAAGTCCAACTTTTTGTGTGATGGTTACATCTTCCTCTGCCTTTTGGGTGCGAGTGCAGGAGTCTTTGTCGGTGCAGAACGTTTCGTTGATGTTGTGGGTTTCGTCGTGGAGAAAACTTGCAGACATACAACACTTCAGAATCACACTGATACAGATTGAACATGTATCTAAATTTGGCAGCTGAACACATTCTGTACAGTACAGGAGACAGGAGTCCCTCAGCCAGTGTAGGTTTATCTAAACATTATAAACAAGAAGAAAGACAAGAGATTAATTCAGTTTTACTCATGAGGAGAACGGGCAGAGAGTGGACATCAAAACCAACAGTCTCCACACGTTCTGATGACTCAAGGCTGTTCTCCTCTTTTTATTTCATTAGGAGGCCCTAGTTACAGAAGGATAATTCTCAAGGGGAAACAGCAAAGACATAATAAGAAACTGATGCAGCTAAGCATAGTACAAACACATAAAACATGAGTATGGACAGACAGCATCATAACTCTTCATGTGTGACAGTGGGAGTTGGCTTCATGTGAGGAATCATCTGGAGGTTCACTAGAGCGACAGGACACTGCACACAGTTGTCAAACACACAGAGGTTATTCATATTCATACAAGTGATTGGTAAATTATAAATCAAAGAATTGTAGTACATAAATGGTTAACTCATAGGCCTAGAATATCACACAAGTATTTAGCAAATATGGGATAATAAAATTATTCTGACAGCCAGTCAGGACGCAGCGGGAGGAACACAATCATATCAATGTAAAAAAAAAGGACATGCAAAATTGCACAAAAAAAAAAAAAATCTGCGAAACAGCGAGACCACGAAAAGTGAACTGTGATAGGAGGGGAGGGAACGAGCGTAAACCAGGTCTAAACCAGAACTGACCCAGGTCTAAACCAGGTCTAAACCAGGTCTAAACCAGGTCTAAACAGTGTGGAGTTCTTTGTCAGTCCTTTCGCCCGCGGTCACCTGAAGGTCTGCGAGGTCTACGTTTCACCGCTGCTGATCTCGAGGTGATTTTAGCGAATTTGTATGAAGAAAAACCCACCACTTCAATCCAGGTTAAAAAAACACTGTAACGCACATTTGTCCCGAGTAAAATATTACTATTTTTTCCCCTGTAATGTCGAACATTACTGTGTTACAGCAAAAAGTAATGCATTGCTGTAATTTGTTACTTTTATAACGCGTTACTCCCAACACTGTTCATAATCACAACAACAGATTAAGTCAAAATGAGAGAAAAATTGTCACTTTCCTCACGAGCGCAGAACAAACCCCTAAACCAACGCCTCAAAGGTTTCGTCTTGGACCAGAGAAACGTTCGTGTCCCGGAGCTCTTGGGGGGACCGGACCTCGCGGTATCCCATGATGCTGAGCGCGTGGCGGCACTCTTCCTGGACGTGCTGCACCATGTCGAAGGGCAGCTTGAGGCGCCAGCTCTCGGCGTTGGCGGCGGAGTCGCGCCTGGTGCCGTACTTGTCCTCGACCCAGGCGTTGCTGGCGGTGTTGACGCGGATCCACTCCTCCACGCTCGGAGTCACGCTCAGACCCACAAAGTCGTAGATCTCCTTGGTCTTCTGCAGAGGGTTCCTGCACAGGTCCTCGTAGCGCAGCAGCATGTACCTGCAGAGACAAAAGACAAACTGTAACACCGAATTCACACCAGGCAGCAGCGGCGCTTAAAGGTTGTACAGAGGAATTTTTAAGGGAAGAGAAATACAGCGACAGTCCTTTTTCAAATGTTGTGCCTGTGTGACACCACCTCCCTCCTCCACAGCTCCTTCAGTAGAAACATCTCCTCCCGCCTCTTTACTCTAGAAATCACGTTTGTTTACAGCCAGTGCGCGTTCAGAATCACTGTTGAAGTTTCCTGTCTAGAAATAATTTAGCGACCGACGCATCTTCAGTTTTTAGACCCTTCGTCTGCTTCAGTCGCGCCATCGCTGGAAGGAATCTCCAAAAATCACCTCAGTTTGTCTTCGCTCCTTTTCCCCTTCTCTTCGTCTTTCAGCGACCTCAAAAAACGACTTTCTTTTGTGGCGAACTGCTCGTGGATTCTCGTCCGACATCGCGACAAACTGTGCGAAATGCGAGTGTAGCAGACAGGGGGCTTCAGAAGGGGTTCCCCACTTCTATTTATTTATTCAATTATTTACAACACAGGTAAGTCTGGCTTAAACACAGGACAAAGGCATTAAAGTGGAAAAATATACGGTTCTTTATTTTAGTTAATATTTAAAAGAGCTCATTTTACACATCTTCTTTTAAAAAGAAACACAATCAACACAATTTTATACATAAAAAAAGGTGCTATAGTATTTTTTAGATGCAAAGTGCTAGGTGCGTGGCTTCACTGTTAGGACTTCAGCCGAGCACCAGTTTCACTCCCACTGCAGGTAAAAGAAACTACGGAATCACAGAAAGTTTAAGGGACTTGGACTGTGAGAGTTTGAGAGTTTGAGAGCAGCAGCGTAATCTGCCACACAGAGATACATCGATTAACACACGCCAACAAACGCCCCCACCCCCAAACATGCATCACCCAGAGCCTCTACCTCACAGGTGTCAAACATACGGCCCGGGGGCCAGATCCGGTCCTCCAAGACCTTTAATGTGGCCCTCGGCTGATTTTCTACTAAAATATTTGAATGATATTTTCTACTAAAATCGTGTTCCTCATCAGAAAAATGTCCAACATGAGAAAAAAGGAGCTGAGTGCAGGATTTTACAACAAAAATTGACTTATTCCTGTTTACAGACAAGTTCATGATTAATCGATAATCGATCGTTAATTCTTCCGACGATCGATTAAGAAAATTTCATCGACTGCCCATCCCTACTCAAAAGCCTGTTGTATCCAATCTGGTACTTGTCTTTAACCCCCTGGTGGACGCCTTTATCACTACAACTATTAAAACACAGTACATGGGACAGTCCAAGATGGCTCCCTTCAGACACTTCCCAAAACAGTGGATCAAGGTCAAGAAAATTGCGATTTTTACAATTTTCCAGTGACATTTTCTTTGAAATTTTTAGTAATATTTCAACATGAACACTTAATCTGTTGAAGCAAGTCAAGATTTCATATTTTTTTGCATTTTAGTATGGAGTAAAATTGTGTATAAAATTAGTGTTCAAATTTGATACTACAGGTAAAAAGTGGAATTTGGTAGTAAATTCCTCAATTGTCCATATCTTGCTTTTCTTGGTGCAATTTGCATTAAATTGATGATTGTGTAGCTTAAAAATATTTTTATCAACCAGTTACACAAATTGCAGATTGAAATGTTATATTTACAATAAATAATTGCATTCGAAAATGGATAAATCTATATTTCTTACTTTAGATGGTGTCGTGTATCTCCCCTCGGCCACAGGAGAACTCACCTGGGTGGGGTAAAAAAATGAAGGTTTTGGCGTAAATTCCATTGAAGGGCTCCTGACATTCAGATGAAGATGTTCATGATGCTTTATTTTAGTAAATGGAAAACTGTTGGAGCATTACAGATTAAGAGTGATTCATTTAGATGATAGAGGTATTTTTGTGACCTATGTTAGCATAAGATACTTGTTTTGTTTCGTTTTAATCTGATTTGTTTCTTTTACTTTGATTTGTTGAATTCTTTCAATTTAATTTCCAGGTTTGGGTTGTTTTGCATTAATTTTTGCAACCATTATGTTTGTGTGCAGGAAAGATAAGGACTTTCTGTTCTTTTGACAGTTGACCCTTATTTGACACTGATGTGTAAAACCCTATGTGCTGAGCGGTGTAGAAGAAGTCTGAGGACAATGCGGGTGCGAACTTCCTGCTCCTTCGACAAAGCGGAGGAGTGGCAGTTAAAGGTTGTATAGAGGATTTTCCAAGGAAGGAGAATCCAGCGACTGTTTGTCCTTTTTCAAATGTTGCTCCTGCGTGAAACCACCTCCCCTCCCCCACAGCTCCTACAGAGAAACACCTCCTCCCTCCTCCTCCTTACGCCACAAACAGGTTTGTTTACAGCCGGTGAACTGCACATGACTCGTAAACAACTAACTACAGTGTTGGTTAGACAAGACGGAGAAGTGAGGAGCGGGGGGAGGGGGGGCGCGGACATTTCGTTCGAGCGGAGCGGAGAGAGTGAGAGAGGAGAGAGGAGAGGAGAGTGGATCGGGCAGTGGGACAGGAGCAGTAAGGGGAGCAGATAAGGTTGCGCGGAGATTCAGTGCGAATGAACTAACTACAACACGCAGCAGCAGGTGGACTCTTTCTTTGCATTGAAAATGACGTTTTCAGACATAGGATATCACTTTCGTGTCCTGAAAAACATTTGTCTCCCTCTTGGAAATAAAGTAGGTTTTCATAATAAGCAGAAGTTTCCTGTCCAGGAGTCATTTGTGGACCAGTGGTTCAGTCTTTAGACTCTTCGTCTGCTTCAGTCGCTCCATCGCTGGAATGAATCTCCAAGAATCACCTTAGTTTGGCTTCGCTGCTTTTCCCCTTGTCTTCTTCTTTCACCTCAAAAACGGACTTTCTTTTGCGGCGAACTGCTCCTGGATTCTTGTCGCCATCGCAACAAACTTTGTGTGAACTGCGAGGAAGATATAGGTCAAAAAAAGCCTCTAAGAACTGTTGCGTTGGTGGAGTAAACAGCGTCTGTGCGGCTTGCGTCTGTGGACTGTGTGACAGTCGTACGTAAACCACGTACCGGCGGCGCAGGCAAGTCAGTTACACTAGAAACGTAGGGAGTTTGATTGACAGCCTGTCAGCTCACAGATAACGAGGCAGTGTCTTTATCTATTGGCAAATGTTTAGCCCCACCACGTCCAGAGTTGATGAATTTTTATTCTCTTTTTTTTGGTCATCATAATTACAAGGCGACTGCATCTATAATCTATCACTGACAATTTGAAACAAAAAACAATCCTCCATACAAACTTTAAGAGTTGTTAAAGTTACCTGTATGGTGTTTCTTAAAGTTAAACGATATTTTTGAGTGTAGTCAGATATTTACCTTGTGTTATTGAAGAAATGATATTTTTGAGTGTTGTCAGAGTTATCTGCATTGTGTTTTTAAAGTTGAGTGATTTTCTGAGGTTATTAGAGTGATTTGAGAAGGTAGTTAGACTCAGGCTGCGTAATCTAGCCCTGGTCTTTTCAACAGATGCTAAACGGTACAGTGACGATGTTCTGTGGGTCACTGATGACAATTCAAGTGATATAGAGGAGTTGATGTTTGCAGATGATGAAGTGTTGGATTAAAATTGGACCCCTAATACAGATTATGATGAAGAGAACTCTAGAACTGGTAGCAGCAATGAGGACGATAAAACCCTTGATGATGGGCTTGAAGAGGAAGATCTCACTATGTCACAGGCAACAAAACAGTGGTAGAAGCAAAGTGAAAAGAGAAATGAAGGGAAAGACACATACAGAGGCTGACTTTGATAACAGTGATGACCAGATTAGCTCAGATGAAGAAGGTCCAACAGTAACACAGGCTATAAATAACACATAAATCTGCAAAGAAAAAAGTGAAAATGAAGGAGTAGAAGTGGAGAAAGGCAGAATTTGAGCAGATCAGGGGAGTCAAACTCAAATTCACAGAGGCCAAAATTAAAAACTGGGACTAAGTTCTAATTTCAACAGCATCTGCAGGTTTTCTCTTCTTTGGAGATCTGTAAAGTTAAAACTTTTCTTATTAAACTAAATGTTTAATAATATTTTTGCTTAAACATTGAATCCAGAACCAGTATAATATAAAATAATAACAACATTTTAAATAAATAATGTCTCTATAGCTTATTTGCAGCCAGCAGGCCAGCTACATATTTGATAGGATCTCGTGGACCAAATATAATTATATCGCGGGGCAAATTTGGCCCCTGGGCCCGAGTTTGACATGTCTGCTCTAGATGTTCCATTTGTTGAGAGTGCAGATGAAGATTTATTGAAGAAAGGTATGAGTTTAGCAGGAACAGTTTAAAAAAATAAGAGGCAGATGTTCTTGTTATATTATATATTCAATATTATATAATATAAGAAAAAGTGACTGGAAAAGGAATCAGTATGAAAAAATAAGAGGCCAATGTTCTGTTTTCATGCTTACCACTGTTCATAATAAAAGAGAAAAGAAGAAAGAGACCTGAAGAGGATGATGTTTTTGCTTTATTGCCAGATACATGTAATGCCCGATGTATCATTTACGATACAAATGGAAAAAACAATATGCAAATAATTTTTTGTAAATTTTTTTTTTATTATTTTGTGAAAAGGCCACATAAAGGTTCCAGATTCAAAAAATCAGAATTTTCTGTCCGTTATTTCTGGGGTTAGGAATTACAGGGCTAATAAGGTAAATTCATCTTTAATTAACAAACATTTCGAGTGTGATTCAAACCTTCTGTACGTGCAGGAAATAAAGACGACACGTTTATATGTCGATACAGAATCTGAACCGACGGATACGGACAGATAGTTGTGAAAAGCACAATCGGGCGACAACTGCACCTACCTCCTCGTCTCTGGTTGAGTCCTGGTTCGGTCCTGGTTCGGTCCTGGTTCGGTCCTGGTTCGGTCCTGGTTTAGTCCTGGTTCAGTCCTGGTTTAGTCCTGGTTGAGTCCTGGTTCGGTCCTGGTTCAGTCCTGGTTCGGTCCTGGTTCGGTCCTGGTTCGGTCCTGGTCTAGTCCTGGTTCAGTCCTGGTTCAGTCCTGGTCTCCTGGTTAGTCTGGTTCAGTCCTGGTTGGTCCTGGTTCGAGTCCTGGTTTCGGTCCTGGTTCCGGTCCTGGTTCGGTCCTGGTCAGTCCTGGGAGTCCTGGTCGAGTCCTGGTCGAGTCCTGGTCCTTTAGTCCTGGTTCAGTCCTGGTTAGTCTGGTCCTGGTTCAGTCCTGGGTCCTGGTTCGTCCTGGTCCTGGTTCGGTCTAGTCCTGGTTTAGTCCTGGTTGAGTCCTGGTTGGGTCCTGGTTCGGTCCTGGTTCAGTCCTGGTTTAGTCCTGGTTCAGTCCTGGTTCGGTCCTGGTTCGATCCTGGTTCGGTCCTGGTCTAGTCCTGGTTCCTAGTCCTGGTTCAGTCCTGGTTCAGTCCTGGTTCAGTCCTGGTTCGGTCCTGGTCTAGTCCTGGTTCAGTCCTGGTTTAGTCCTGGTTGAGTCCTGGTTCAGTCCTTCAGTCCTGGTTCAGTCCTGGTCCTGGTTAGTCCCTGGTTCGGTCCTGGTTAGTCCTGGTTCAGTCTGGTTCAGTCCTGGTTTAGTCCTGGTTAGTCCTGGTTTCAGTCCTGGTTCCAGTCCTGGTTCGGTCCTGGTTCGGTCCTGGTCCTAGTCCTGGTTCAGTCCTGGTTCAGTCCTGGTTTTCAGTCTGGTTAGTCCTGGTCCTGGTTTAAGTCCTGGTTCAGCTGGGTTTAGTCCTGGGTCCTTGAGTCCCTGGTTCGGTCCTGGTTCGGTCCTGGTTAGTCCTGGTTTCCTGGTCGGGTCCTGGTGGTTCAGTCCTGGTTCAGTCCTGGTAGTCCTTGTAGTCCTGGTTGGTCCTGGTGGTGGGTCCTGGTCCTGGGTCCTGGTTGGGTCCTGGTGGTCTGGTTGGGTCCTGGTGTCCTGGTGTAGTCCTGGTTAGGTCCTGGTTCGGTCCTGGTGTAGTCCTGGGTCTGGTCCTGTGTTCAGTCCTGGGTAGTCCTGGTTAGTCCTGGGGTCCTGGTCGGTCCTGGGTCCTGGTGTAGTCCTGGTTCGGTCCTGTGTCCTGGTTGAGTCTGGTTCGGTCCTGGTGTAGTCCTGGTTTGGTCCTGGTTCGGTCCTGGTTTGGTCCTGGTTCGGTCCTGGTGTAGTCCTGGTTGGTTTCCTGGTGGTCCTGGTGGTCCGGTCCTGGGTCCTGGGTCCTGGTAGTCCTGGTTCGGTCCTGGTGTAGTCCGGGGGTCCTGGTCCTGGTTAGTCCTGGTTGGTCCTGGTTGGGTCCTGGTCCTGTAGTCCTGGTTGAGTCCTCGGTCCTGGTGTAGTCCTGGTTGGGTCCTGGTTCGGTCCTGGTGTAGTCCTGGTTGAGTCCTGGTTCGGTCCTGGTGTAGTCCTGGTTGGGTCCTGGTTTTCCTGGTGTAGTCCTGGTTGAGTCCTGGTTTGGTCCTGGTGTAGTCCTGGTTGGGTCCTGGTTCGGTCCTGGTGTAGTCCTGGTTTCAGTCCTGGTTGGTCCTGGTTGGTCCTGAGTCCTGGTCCTGGGTAGTCCTGGTTGGTCCTGGTTAGTCCTGGTTCAGTCCTGGTGTAGTCCTGGTTGAGTCCTGGTGTAGTCCTGGTTGAGTCCTGGTTGAGTCCTGGTTCGGTCTGAGTCCTGGTTCGGTCCTGGTGTAGTCCTGGTTAGTCTGGTCTGGGTCCTGGTGTAGTCCTGGTTCAGTCCTGGTCCTGGTGTAGTCCTGGTTGAGTCCTGGTTGTCCTGGTGTAGTCCTGGTTTGGGTCCTGGTTCGGTCCTGGTGTAGTCCTGGTTGAGTCCTGGTTCGGTCCTGGTGTAGTCCTGGTTCGGTCCTGGTTCAGTCCTGGTGTAGTCCTGGTTGAGTCCTGGTTCGGTCCTGGTGGTAGTCCTGGTTGGGTCCTGGTTCGGTCCTGGTGTAGTCCTGGTTCGGTCCTGGTGTAGTCCTGGTTGAGTCCTGGTTCGGTCCTGGTGTAGTCCTGGTTGGGTCCTGGTTCGGTCCTGGTGTAGTCCTGGTTGGGTCCTGGTCGGTTGTCCTGGTTGGTCCTGGTTGAGTCCTGGTTAGTCCTGGTTGTCCTGGTCCTGGGGTCCTGGTTGAGTCCTGGGTCTGGTTGGTCCTGGTGTAGTCCTGGTGGTCCTGGTTAGTCCTGGTTCGGTCCTGGTGTAGTCCTGGTTGGGTCCTGGTTCGGTCCTGGTGTAGTCCTGGTTGGGTCCTGGTTCGGTCCTGGTGTAGTCCTGGTTCCGGTCCTGGTGTAGTCCTGGTTGGTCCTGGTTCGGTCCTGGTTAGTCCTGGTCCTGTGTAGTCCTGGGTTGGTCCTGGGTAGTCCTGGTGTAGTCCTGGTTCCTGGTTCGGTCTGGTGTAGTCTGGTTGTCCTGGTTCGGTCCTGGTGTAGTCCTGGTTGGTCCTGGTAGTCCTGGTTGTAGTCTGGTTGGGTCCTGGTTGAGTCCTGGTTGTAGTCCTGGTTGGTTGAGTCCTGGTTTGGTCCTGGTTCGTCCTGGTTGAGTCCTGGTTGGTCCTTGGTCTGGTTAGTCCTGGTTTGTCCTGGTGTAGTCCTGGTTGGTCCTGGTGTAGTCCTGGTTGAGTTTCCTGGTCCTGGTTCGGTCCTGGTGTTAGTCCTGGTTGAGTCCTGGTTGAGTCGGTCCTGGTGGTTCCTGGTGTTGGTCCTGGTTGGTCCTGGTGTAGTCCTGGTTGGTCCTGGTTTGGGTGAGTCCTGGTTGAGTCCTGGTGTAGTGTAGTCCTGGTTGAGTCCTGGTTGAGTCCTGGTTGGTCTGGTAGTCCTGGTCCTGTAGTCCTGGTTGAGTCCTGGTTCGGTCCTGGTGTAGTCCTGGTTGAGTCCTGGTCCTGGTGAGTCCTGGTGGTGTCCTGTTGAGTCCTGGTTGTCCTGGTGTAGTCCTGGTTAGTCCTGGTCCTGGTTGAGTCCTGGTTGAGTCCTGGTTCGGTCCTGGTGTAGTCCTGGTTGGGTCCTGGTTCGGTCCTGGTGTAGTCCTGGTTGAGTCCTGGTTGGTCCTGGTTGAGTCCTGGTTGTCCTGGTTGAGTCCTGGTTGAGTCCTGGTGTAGTCCTGGTTGGGTCCTGGTTGAGTCCTGGTGTAGTCCTGGTAGTCCTGGTGAGTCCTGGTTGAGTCCTGGTGAGTCCTGGTTGAGTCCTGGTGTAGTCCTGGTTGGGTCCTGGTGTAGTCCTGGTTGGTCCTGGTCCTGGTGTCCTGGTTGGTCCTGGTGAGTCCTGGTTGGTCCTGGTGTAGTCCTGGTTGAGTCCTGGTTTAGTCCTGTGTAGTCCTGGTTGAGTCCTGGTGTAGTCCTGGTTGGTTGTAGTCCTGGTGGTGTAGTCCTGGTTGAGTCCTGGTGTAGTCCTGGTTGAGTCCTGGTTGGTCCTGGTGTAGTCCTGGTTGAGTCCTGGTTGAGTCCTGGTTGAGTCCTGGTTCGGTCCTGGTGTAGTCCTGGTTGAGTCCTGGTTGAGTCCTGGTGTAGTCCTGGTTGAGTCCTGGTTGAGTCCTGGTGTAGTCCTGGTTTGAGTCCTGGTTGAGTCCTGGTGTAGTCCTGGTTGAGTCCTGGTTGAGTCCTGGTGTAGTCCTGGTTGAGTCCTGGTTGAGTCCTGGTGTTGAGTCCTGGTTGGTCCTGGTTGGTCTGGTTGAGTCCTGGTGTAGTCCTGGTTGAGTCCTGGTTGAGTCCTGGTTAGTCCTGGTCCTGGTGGTCCTGTGAGTCCTGGTTGAGTCCTGGTGTAGTCCTGGTTGAGTCCTGGTCCTGGTGTGAGTCCTGGTTGAGTCCTGGTGAGTCCTGTTGAGTCCTGGTTCGGTCCTGGTGTAGTCCTGGTTGAGTCCTGGTTGAGTCCTGGTGGTGAGTCCTGGTTGGGGTCCTGGTCCTGGTCCTGGTTAGTCCTGGTTGAGTCCTGGTTGAGTCCTGGGTAGTCCTTGGGAGTCCTGGTGTAGTCCTGGTTGAGTCCTGGTTGAGTCCTGGTTAGTCCTGGTTGAGTCCTGGTTGAGTCCTGGTTGAGTCCTGGTGTAGTCCTGGTTGGTCCTGGTGAGTCCTGGTTGAGTCCTGTTAGTCCTGGTTGAGTCCTGGTTGGTCCTGGTGTAGTCCTGGTTGGTCCTGGTTGAGTCCTGGTCCTGGTGAGTCCTGGTGGTGAGTCCTGGTGAGTCCTGGTTGAGTCCTGGTGTAGTCCTGGTTGAGTCCTGGTTGAGTCCTGGTGTAGTCCTGGTTGAGTCCTGGTTGAGTCCTGGTGAGTCCTGGTTGGTCCTGGTGTAGTCCTGGTTGAGTCCTGGTGTAGTCCTGGTTGAGTCCTGGTTGGGTCCTGGTGTAGTCCTGGTTGAGTCCTGGTTGAGTCCTGGTTGAGTCCTGGTTGAGTCCTGGTTGAGTCCTGGTTGAGTCCTGGTTGTCCTGGTGTAGTCCTGGTTGAGTCCTGGTGTAGTCCTGGTTGAGTCCTGGTTGAGTCCTGAGTCCTGGTTGAGTCCTGGTGTAGTCCTGGTTGAGTCCTGGTTGAGTCCTGGTTGAGTCCTGGTGTAGTCCTGGTTGAGTCCTGGTTGAGTCCTGGTGTAGTCCTGGTTGTAGTCCTGGTTGAGTACCTGCCCCGGAGCCAGCGTGGGCGGCGTTGGGCGGTCTTCAGGGAGGCGTGGAGCTCGTGGCAGGTGGAGTTGAACTGTGGGGGGTTGATGTGGAGGGAGGCGGGTCTGAGTCCTGAGCTCTTCCAGACGTTCCAGGGTTTGTACCAGTGCGAGAACGTCTCTATCCTGGAGCTGAGGATCCCCCGAGGGTCCCGCACCAGCTGGATCACTTTAACGTTGAGGCGAGGGTCCTCCAGCAGGGGGCGCAGCTCTTCCACCACCACCACTCGCACCTGCAGCAAGAGCCACGCGTCACACCACGGATCTGCGAGCAGAACTCACCGGACTCGTGTTCAGCTGACGGGACCTGCGGCTTTCAAAAGTGTCGGACGTGAGACTCTGAGCTCGGCCCGGTGACTTGAACGGGCGGAGATTTTGGAACGCCGGGGCTCGATCCGAGTCAGAGCTTCAACTAGGGCCGCGGGGGCGGGGCTCTGGAATAATGACCGACAGCTGTCAAACATTCCGACATGATGCGGAGCCCAGCGAGAGCCGGGAGGAGCCGGGAGGAGCCGGGAGGAGCCGGGAGGAGCCGGGAGGAGCCGGGAGGAGCTGAAGGAACGAGGAGGAGCCGGGAGGAGGAAGGAGGAGGAAGGAGGAGCTGGGAGGAGCTGGGAAGGAACAGGGTAGCCGGAAGGAACCAGAAGGAGCGAGGGGAGGAGCCAGGAGAAGCTGCAGGAGCTGGGAAGGAACAAGGAGGAGCCGGGAGGAGCCGTGGAGGAACAGGGAGAAGCTGAAGGAGCGAGACTAATGAAATAATGATTGACAGCTGCGTAACACCTTCACATTCACAGGTTTGCTCTGAGATGTTTCAATAAGTCCAAGAATCTTTAGTACGGACGATAAAAAAAACATTTAATCAATTTCTCACTAAAAAAGTGACGTGTGTGTGTGTGTGTGTGTGTGCGTGTGTAGGATTCACTCGCTCATTTCCTCGGTCACTTCTCGTGCACAGAACCCGGCTGGACTCACCGTCTTGTAGACCACGTGGGACTTCTCTCGACAGGCCTGGGCAGCTCGGGTCAGGTTGACCGGGTCACAGGGGTCGTCCTGGCACACGGGCGGCTGGGTCATGGCCCGGCTGAAGCGCCGCATGAACAGGTTGGGCACCATGTGGTCGATAGGGGCCGGACGGAAGTACCTCTCCAGAGCGAAGAGGTCACACCGGAACAGACTCCACAAGAGGTCACGACTCGCCCCCAGGATCAGCTGAGACAGAAGAGAGAACAGAAGAGGAGAGAAGAATCTCACAAAATCTAATCTCTAACAGGTACTAAAAGCAAACAGTCTGGGCGAGGAGACTGTGGAGGTGAACTGTCACCACAGGAGCAGGAGCAGAGCTTCACTAACACTGTTACAGAGTGAACTTTACAGAGTGAACTTTACAGAGTGAACTTTACAGAGTGAACTTTACAGAGTGAACTTTACAGAGCAGGTGCTAATTGTTCCCAAAAGATGTTTTCGTCGTGTTCTGTGCAGAAGTCAGACCTGATCCCAGTGCAGGTTCTTCTGGTTCTGTTCATTGTTTTTATGGACAGAATTTCCCGGGCGTCCGGTTTGGGGACCACAGAATCTCATCTCTGCTGTTTACAGATGATGTAACGCACTGGGAACAGGTCTGAACCAGGACTACACCTGGACTAAACCTGGTTTAGGGTTTTACTCTCACCTTTGCTCATGAGCGTTGGATAATGTCCAAAAGGACAAGATCGTGGATAAAATCGGTTAAATGAGCCTCCCCCGCAGACTGTCTGGGCTCTCAGCTACACAGGAGGAGCTCAGATTAGAGCTGCTGCTCCTCCACATGGCGGGGGCCCAGGAAGACCCGAGGTGTCCTGTTTTGTGCGTCTTTTGTGTTACCTCTCTGTCAAAGTTGTTGGGTCCGGTGACGGTGTCCTGGACGTGGAATAGCGGCTCAAACAGGCAGAAGACGTGCGGGTGCTGGTTGAGGAGCTCGGCGGTGAAGGTGGAGCCAGCGCGGGTGGTGGTCAGGATGATCACGTGTGTCCTGGACCTGGAGTTTGTGCCTCTGCTCAAATAAAAAGTCATTCAGGAACATTCACACCTTTGTAATCGACATTATAATCTCATCTGTGTAACACCGCGTGGACTCGATCAGTGTGAGACAGATGTGTACAAAAGTGATGTCCCTGAGTCCCTGAGAAAAACAGAATTTAAGTCTCACTTCAGGTCGTCGCTCTTGAAGGCGGGATCAGAAGAAGAGTGGGCGGGGCTGGTTCTGGAGTGGGCGGGGCATAACCAGTAGGAGGTGGAGGTTAAAGTTTGTATGACCACGTACTGAACGATCGTCAATGCAAACACCAAGAGCACCACAGACTTCCACGAACACCCCATGACTTGAGCAGCAGCTCGTGGGTCGCGCCTCTGTGGACAGAAAAACTCTGGTTCAGTTTTGGTTCAGTCCCATGACGCTCGACTCCAGCCAAATGAAGCTAGTCGAGGCAAGGAGCTTTAGTGCTGAATTTGGTGTTAAGTTCCATATTTGGAAATCTGACTGTGAGAAACAATCAAAGAACCAATCAGTTCAGTTCTGAACTGAAGAAGCAGCTTGGACAAGCAGCGAAACATTCGACCAAATAAACTTTTGTCCAGTCGACAAAAATATTTCTCCTTTACCTTTGCGCTGTATTAAATATTTATAACGCAGGCAGTGTTGGGGAGTAACAGATTACATGTACCGGAATTATGTAATCAGAGTACAAATTATGAGTAACTGTATTCAGTTACAGTTACTGTTTCAGTGAGTGGTAAATAGATTAAAGTTACTTTGTTGAAATAAATGGATTATATGGAGGTATTTTCCTGTTTTCACATTTTGGGCTATATCCTTTTTAAAAAAAAAAAAAAATTGATAATTCCACTCATTGCTGGAAACCCAAACAGAACACACGCAGTAAGAGCCACGTAAATGTCTTAGATAAATGTTAACGCTGGTGATGTCAATTACACAGTGGACGAGGTCGTTAATAATCGTTGTGGTTAATAATCTGATTCTGCATAATTTTGAGAAATAATATCAAATATTACAGATTTTTACTGGGCTAGTGCCTTTGTTTGTACTGAAAGTTATTATTATTATTATGATTATTATTATTATTATTATTATTATTTTAATAAACAATATATGACACCTAACAGTAGGTGGACATAATTTAAAGCAGCAGAAAGCATTTCTCTATCTATAATATTTTTAATATAGTTAAGGAAAGACTGGGCTTTTTATTGTCTTTAAGCAGAGAAAAGATCCTCGTCTTTTCTTCTCTACAGTAAAACAAAAGTCTGTTCATGGAGACTTGGGCTCAACGGACAATTTGAAGAGAACAAACAAGAATTTTCAGGATGTGGTTGCTACATTCATGTAGTTTTAAAAAGCATGACAATATCAAGTTATCCAAAGTATTCAGATTACTTTACTCACCTAAAGTAACTTAATGGATTCCGTTACAAACTACATTTTGGGGTATATAATCTGTAATCTGTAGGGGATTACTGTTTAAAAGTAAACTTCCCAACACTGAACGCAGGTGACAAAACCGTGTTGGCAGAATTCTCTTGTCCCGCTCCCACTCTCTGATTTTACGTCTCCCTGCGTGCGTTCGGTCACGTGACCGCGAGCAACTAATCAGCGAGTTAGATTAGCGCGAACCCCGGAAGCGCGACAGACCGCGAGAGACAAACAAATGCGAGCTGCAGAAGTTTAAACCTCGATTTCTCGTGTTTCTCGGGACAATTTGTCAAACTGATCATGTTAAATATGAAACCGCAGGAGGAACAACCGCCGCCCCAGCGCCTCGAGCCGCACATGACTCAAATATAGGGATTTGTTAAGCTCATGTTTTAGCTTTAGCATTTTCCATTGGGTTGTATGGGTTAGCTTAGCCTAGCCGCTCCCATTGGTTTCTATGGGTCCGGTTAGCATCGTTTTATGCCAAGTTTCTGCATTTTTCTCTTTAATCTTTTGGTCCAAATGAAATGTAAACACCTTGAAATGATGACTCACGTTGTCTTATACTGTCCACTTGTTGGTTATGCACTTTGTGGCAGGTTTTTAGCTAAACATTTATATTTATCTTATATAAAAATGTCCTCAGGTCTTTAAACACTGAAGTGCTGCTGTTCGTGTGTCGTCCACCTGCACTTTCATTCAAAGGAACATTTTTAATTAATCATTTTAAGGTTATTTGATTAATTAATTTAATGTTTCTAGTATATCAAAAAATATTTGAATATGAAGCAGTATTTATATATTTATAATAACACTGGTGTTATTTAATGATATTTATACTTTGAATTATGTGCGCACAGATTGTTATATTGTAATGTCCTGTTCTTTGTACAGACCAGGTCTCGATGAGCTACGTCCAGGTTCAAGCGACAGACACCACCCGATATTTGACTCAGCTGCTGCCAGGACCCCAGACCCCCGTCCCTCTGCTCGGGCCGACATGAGGCTCCTGTAGCGTTTGAACTCTCACATCTTCACACACATCGCTCTACGACCCCGACGTTCAACCACTCGCCCCAGTCCTCACACACACTTCCCTCCTGGACTCATTCTCAGCTCGTACGAGCTACTTTTACCACCGTGTGTGATGAACTGTGCCTATCACATCGATCTGTGTGTCCAGATCCAGTTTCTCTTTTTTAGACATTCAAATTTTGAGTGTTTCTGTATCGTAAATTTATCGGCTACTCCACTGAACTTTAATGTAGCACTAATATTCATTTATTGTCTTTTTTGTCTTTTGTCTATCCTCCAATACATGGCACCCAGGGGTGTCAAACATATGGCCCAGGGGCCAGATCCGGCCCTCCAAGACCTTTAATCTGGCCCTCGGCTGATTTTCTACTAAAATATTTTAATGATATTTTCTATTAAAATTGTGTTAATTTTCTGTGGTGTTTATCACAGCAGCGTCTCCAGCGTCTCTGTACGTGGCCCCTCCCACCAGAGCAGCACAAATGAAGACTTGTCTCTTTCCAAACGCTCTTAAAGGACGATCGTTTTGACTGTTGACCGTGACCCTCATCAGAAAAATGTCCAACATGAGAAAAGTGGAGCCGAGTGCAGGATTTTACAACAAAAACTGACTTATTCCTGTTTACAGACAAGTTCATGTTCAAACTTTGTGTTGAAATTGTATTTTTCTTAAAGTTTCAGGTTGTTCATAATATTATAATGTTTTGTAAAAGAAAGAGTTCATCAATGAAAAAAGATTTCTGTAATAGATTTGTGTTTCTCTGCACAAATATTTGAACTTATTGTTATTTTTGGGGTTTATATGACATGAGTTTTCTGATCCGGCCCCTTTGGGATCAAAGTCGGTTGGACACAACCCCCGGAACAAAATGAGTTTGACACCTCTGGTCTAAAGCTATTTCAGTCTCTGCCTCCTCTCTCCTCATCAGGTTGGCTCCACCTAGTGCCTCCGCTCAGTTTCATTTCTCTCCAGCTCTAGATCAGGAATCAAAAAACACTAGACGATTCGCAAAACCCCCGGAAGTGTGAGTCCAGCCAATCAGAGAAGAGTCAGTCATTCTGTGTTGGCAACAATTCCCGAGATCGAGGATTTAAAGCCGGAACAAAGAGAACGTTTGGTGAATTTTATCTCAGGGAAAGACGTTATTGTTCTTCTTCCTACAGGATTTGGAGCTTTACAAACGTCACGACCAAACAGCAGCGATTGGTTAAATAAAAAAAGTCCCCGCCTCCTGTCGAGGGAACGAATCCTAATGCTGCGAGATCAGACAGTTTGTACGAAGTGAAACAAAGTAAGTAAGTCTTTATTTATATTGCGCTTTCACAGACATTTTCTGTCCCCAAAGATGCTTTACACTTTATTCATTCACTCCATACCCTGGTGATGGCAAGTTACTACTGTAGCCACAGCTGCCATGGGGCACACTGACAGAAGCGCGGCTGCCCTGCCACTCGGCGCCATCGGTCCACTCTCAGACACACCACTCACACACACACACACTCAGCACACACACACACACACACACACTCACACACACTCAGCACACACACACACACACACACACACACACACACACACACACACTCAGCACACACACTCACACACACACACACACACACACACACTCAGCCACACACACTCACACACACACACACACTCAGCCACACACACACACACACACACTCAGCACACACACACACACACACTCAGCACACTCACACACACACACACACACACACACACACACACACACACTCAGCACACACACACACACACACACACTCACACACACACACACACACACACACACACTCAGCACACACACACACACACACACACACACACTCAGCACACACACACACACACACACACACACACACTCAGCCACACACACACACACACACACTCAGCCACACTCACACACACACACACACACACACTCAGCACACACACACACACACACACTCAGCCACACACACACACACCTCTCCCTGAGCCGTACCTTGTCTTCTGGTTCTTGGGCCATAGTTATTACATTCCATTACACTGCGTCATTATCTTGTAAATACATGGTACACAGGTTAAATTCAGTGCTCTACATCATTTATTATCATTTTACGCAGCGAATTTGCTACATATTGCATCGTGTTAAATATTGTAATGTGTTAAATATTGCACATCGTCAAAATACTGATGCAGGGCAGAGTCGGTGAAATGATCCAATAGATAAAAAAAAAAAAAAGAGCCGAAAGTCCCGTCACTCCTCTGACTTTCTCTGTCTCTTTTCCTTTCTTTACATTGTAGCTAATCAAGCTTCAAATACGATTCTTTATTTTATCCGAGTAGTTTTACTTACAGATCGTTCCGCTGCTCCTTCCACGAGCGACAGGTGTAAAGAACGACAGGCGTAAACAGTGACAGGTGTAAGGGGAAACTCAGACGTCCTCCTCGGCTCTGCCCTACGTCTGCCGGTCGGGTGTGGAGAGTCGTATAATTAAATTAAATATAATTAGAGTACATAGGTTTTATTTTTTTCACAGGGAGCAGGTTAAAAAACCAGGTGGAACAGGTCGGACTGGTTTCTTCTGTAAATGTGGAGTAAATGTGGGTGCTCCAGACACCACCACGTCTTCTCCGCTGTTTTGCAAACCCTAACATTATCAGTGAGACAGTTTTGTGTTTGGTTTCCTCTCTGATTTCTACTTTGATGAAGTGCTCTGCAGCGGTGCGGTCGCTCCACCTCCTCCGACTGACACTGCCCAGTTTTGTACAAATAGTTTTCTTCCAGTTTACGTTTTTCTGACTTTACAGCAGTGGCCACAGTTGGTGAACACAAAGAGCGTTAATCTCCCC